TGTCCAAGTTGTGGCTTTCCTTTCTCTGCTTTCTAGACCAGTCCTATTTGTACAGATGCACACTTCCAAAAAGAAATGGACGTTGCAGAGGATCCTTTCCTCGTTTTTACTTTAACTTCGAAAGTAAGAAATGTGAGAAATTCCTTTATGGTGGCTGCGGAGGCAATAAAAATAACTTTTTAACACAGGATGAATGCTTTTCAAAGTGTGAAGGTAAGACAAAAATAAATCATCCCCAGGTTTTGTTGTTCATGGCTAAAGGTCTCTATCATGGCCTACGTTGCATAATATTATGCATATTTACGAACTCATCTGACAGGGTGAGATCAGTGTCCTAGGATGCCTCGCAACTCCAGGAATTTTTGGTAGACACTGATTATCTAGATCCGGCGCAGTCTGGCTTTAGGCCGAGACATGGTACTGAGACAGCCTTGGTCGCCTTAGGTGGTTATCTAAGCCAGGAGCTGGACAGGGGGAGTGTGTCCCTATTATTATTATTATTATTATTATTATTATTATTATTATTATTATTATTTAGGGCTTTTATATTCCGTCCTTTCTCAACCTCCACAGAGGGACTCAGGATGGCTAACAAAGTGGCACCCCATGGAGCCCACATCAAAACATAAATATACAATTAATAATAATATAATATAATAATAATCCTTCGTTAAAATTCTTTTCTTCTGAGAACCACTGTGTTGTTGACTCTCCACTGTCTGTGGGAGCCTCAGAAAAAGACCTAGAAGCAGGCCCAGAGATGTGAGGCACAGAAAAAGAGCCAGGAATCTGAATCCGATCATCCTCATAATCAGGGAACATCTCAGCCACAACACACTCCACATTTGTATGCTTGTCCACTATGCCCTGCCTCATGTACCGAGGAAGAATTGTTGGAGGCTACAGACAATGCCATTGCTGTTGCCTGTTTTTGGTCAAAAGATATTTAGCCACCTGCACTCCTTCTATTTTTATCAGTTTTATACTAATTTATGCAATGCTTTTGATACGAAATAAATAAATCCCATACTCTTCCACTCTTTGAAGAAGGCTGTTGTGCATGGTAATTGACAGGAAATTAATTATTTAGACGTGAAGGTGCCATCATATTCCTTTCCCCTTTCTTCTTCTCGTGAGCTGCAGTTTTCTAGTGCTGTAATCGACTGTTGAACTTGTATAAGTTGTGGCTTTCCTTTCTCTGCTTTCTAGACCAATCCTATTTATACAGATGCACACTTCCAAAAATAACTGGACCTTGTAGAGCAGCCTTTTCTCGTTTTTACTTTAACCTCAAAAGTAAGAAATGTGAGGAATTCCTTTATGGTGGCTGCAGAGGCAATGAAAATAACTTTTTAACACAGCAGGAATGCTTTGAAAAGTGTGAAGGTAAGACAAAAATAAATCATCCCCAGGTTTTGTTGTTCATGGCTAAAGGTCTCTATCATGGCCTACGTTGCATAATATTATGCATATTTACGAACTCATCTGACAGGGTGAGATCAGTGTCCTAGGATGCCTCGCAACTCCAGGAATTTTTGGTAGACACTGATTATCTAGATCCGGCGCAGTCTGGCTTTAGGCCSAGACATGGTACTGAGACAGCCTTGGTCGCCTTAGGTGGTTATCTAAGCCRGGAGCTGGACAGGGGGAGTGTGTCCCTATTATTATTATTATTATTATTATTATTATTATTATTATTATTATTATTTAGGGCTTTTATATTCCGTCCTTTCTCAACCTCCACAGAGGGACTCAGGATGGCTAACAAAGTGGCACCCCATGGAGCCCACATCAAAACATAAATATACAATTAATAATAATAATAATAATAATAATAATCCTTTATTTGTACCCCGCTACCATCTCCTGAAGGACTCGGTGCGGCTTACAAGAGGCCGAGCCCAAATACAATAGTAAAACAATAACAACAACAACTGCAAATAACTCAAAAAACAAAGCAATAACATTAGCAACACACAATGACGCAATTAAAAACAATGGCAGGGCCAAATGTAATGAAAAGTTAAAAAGTGCTGGGCGTGACCAGGTGGGGTGTTTGGAGGGGGGTGGGCATATAGGAATCCTAGATCTCTGATAAAGTGCGTTGGGTCATAATGCTAGGAGTTTCCTTATTCTAGAAATGCACACTGGAACAACCATGTCTTCAAGCTCCTCCTAAAGATTGCTAGCGACGGGGCCTGCCTGATGTCTTTAGGGAGAGAGTTCCAGAGTCGAGGGGCCACCACCGAGAAAGCCCTTCCCTTCCTCCGTTTCTTTCCTTCCTTTTTCTCCTCCCCTCGCCAGCTTCATCCCCCTTTATTAAATCTACAGTGTAGATGCACCCAAAATCACCCCTTCCACACTGCCATGTAAAATCCAGATTATCTACTTAGGACTGGATTATATGGCAGTGTAGACACACACACACACACACACATATGGATGGATGTTGGATCACTGGTTGGTGTGTGTGTGTGTGTAATTGTACCTGTTGACGGAAGTCATAAAATAAAATTAAAATTAAAATTCTTTCTAATGTATGCCAGCTGTATTAATTTCATAGGGTTTTCTGTGGGAAGAATTACTCAGGGGGAGTTTGGCATCACCCTCCTCCTGAATATAGGCTGCTGAATATTGGCTGTCTTCCATAGCAAATGAGTTCTGGTGCCATCAAGGTATTTAAATGTGGTAAGTCACAGAATAGCACCCTCAAACATGCAGAATAATCACAGGATGTCTTAAACCTACACCGGTTGATAAACTCTACAAGCTAGCTGGCATTGCTCCCCATTGTGCGATGGGAAGTTGCTGCTAAATGTGAGAGAAATAAGGTTGAACACTGTGAAAGCCACCCAAAGCAGGTGCATACAACATTGAACGAAACGTGCAGAATAATCACAGGATGTCTTAAACCTACACCTGTTG